CACGCAGACCCTACTGCTCATGAATCCTACTGCCACTTGCCCCACCGTAATCTCGAGTCCTGGACGTCTCCCATTTAGTTCTGTTGCAGTAGAAGAGTCAAATGACTCGGACACAGTACAGAGTGAATTAGCACAGAGTGGAGATAGAGTGAAAGGATCCTGTATGGTATGTTGGATAGAAGTATCTTTCAATGAATTTGGTGAATAGTTTTCAGGGAATTGGATGAATAAGTTAATCATTTATTGTATATCATTGCTGTCTGGCACATATGTGGTTAGCCAGGGAATGATATTTGTGGGTCCACCCAGCTTCTGAAATGATGTGAGAGGGGAAGCCATTTCTGCAATGAATCTCAACCTTGCTAAAGTTTGCCTCCAAGTATATTTGCTTGTTCCTGTGTTGACTGCTATCTACTTGAGATGTAAAGGTGTGTAGGGACAGCAAAAGAAATTGGGCAGCAGTCCCCAACAAGGAAAAGCTGCTTCTCAACTTATCTTTCTACACACACACACACACACACACACACACACACACACACACACACACACGGAGGGTAGGTTGGAAGAAGTTTATACTCAAAATTTGAATTCAAACAGATCTGTATTTGCAAACCAGTTCTACCTTCCTTCCTTCCTCCCTTACTTTTTCTTTTCCCTCCTTCCCTCCCTCTCTCCCTCCCTCCATCACTCCTTTCCTTCCTTCCTTTCCTTCCTTCCTTCCTTCCTTCCTTCCTTCCTTCCTTCCTTCCTTCTTTCCTTCTTTCCTTCTTCCTTTCATTTGCATGTTTGTGATTGTTTGAATAAGAATGATCCCCATAGGCTCATATGTTTGAATACTTGTTTCCCAGTTGGTGGAATTGTTTGGGAAGGATTAGGTGGTGTGGCCTTGGAGGAGGTGTGTCACTTTAAGGTTTCAAAAGCTTAATCCATTCTCAGCATATTCTTTCTCTGCCTCATGTTTGTGTAAGGCTGAGAATTCTTGATGTAAGCTCTCAGCTACAGTTCCAATGCCATGCTTGCTTGCCTGCTGCCATGGTCTCAGCTACAATGGTCATGAACTCTAACCCTCTAGATCCATAAGCCAACAATTAGATGCTTTCTTTTATAAGTTTCCTTCATCATGGTGTTTTGTCACAGCAATAGAAAAATAACTAAGACAACATTCTTGTCATCACTCCTGTGTGAAGGGTAACTCAAGGGAGTCAGTTTTTTACTTCCACCACATGGGTACTCAGATTTAAACTCAGGCATCAGACTTAGCAGCAAGAACCTTTACCCACTGAACCATCTCACAAGCCCTTCTTTTCTGTCCTTTAGATTCCTCAACTATAAACTGGAGCCACTAATCTCCAGCTTCCCAAAGGCGTTTATAGGGAATGATGTATGCAGAGTGCATGGCTCACAAAGGCACTAAATAAGCATCCTATTATTACCATAGGGTTCAGTCCCTGCCTGGGCAATTTCTAAAGCTTTGTCCAGGGGATTAGTGGGCTCAGAGTAATGGGAGACAGATGTTCAAACCGAAGAAGCTGCTTCTATCAAGGTCCAACTAAAGTCTAATGATTTTTTTTCAGACCTCTTTACAAGATGTACAATGGCTGGGTTTGTGCTAAGGCAAAGCCTTGAGGTGCTCAGTTATGTGTTTAAACTTCAAGAGATTGGATTTGTCACCGAGCATCTTGGACAAAGTTCAAAGCTTTTTGGACTTTGTAATAACTGGGAGGATTAGAATTTAGAAAGAATATCAAACAAGAACCACTCTGCCTCTAGTCCAATGAGGGAAACTCCTATCACTAGGCAAGGAGAGTATGAGGTCTTTGTGCTAACAGATAAGCACTAGAGAAAGCAGGAAATTTTAACACACAGGATTGTCTCTTCAAAGAAAGAGATATAATAACCTGTTTTCTGCCCAGAAGGCAGGGAATGGATGTAGTTAATAGCCTGATGACATCTGTGCTATTTGTAGGGCTAGGCTTGACCCCCAAGACTCATGTTTATCCTGGACTCTTCCTCCCTAGACCTTTATCTTGAGCATTGTTTCTAAGTCAATAGGCCCCATCCTTATGGGGGATGTCACATATACTTTACAAATGGAGCAGAGGTGGTTGATGGTGACCTCTGCTATCTGTATGGCCAGGCTACATCTGGTTCCCACCTTTCTAGATCCTTATCTTAAGCATTGTCCTCCATGAATAAAACCCATCTTTATGAAAGAAGTTATATGTACTTTGAAAGAGTTTCAATGTAATCATGTCTTAAGCTTTGTTGCACACTTTGGATGAGTTAACCGCTGCCAGGAAGCTATTTTCCAAAACTGTGTTGTGCCTAACTATGGTTAGGATAAGCTTTCCAGTGTCAGACTCCACAAGTTTGAGCCAACTGGCTACTGAGTCGTTGAACCAGATTTTTTTTTCTTGCTCCACATGGATTGTTACTTTTTTGCTGGCCCTGCTGTTTGCAGAGAACCCCACAACTAGGAAAGTTCAGTTGGTGGATCTGTAAAGGCAGGGTGGTGATGGATCTCCTGAAGGAAAATGGGGTCACAGGCAGGTCTCTGTCAGAATCACTCTAAGAATTTCTCACACATAAGTACCCTCTATCTAGGTTCCTGAGAAAGGCCTCAGGATATTGTTTCCCTTTTCAAAAGTTTGTTTATTTATTTATTTATTTATTTATTTATTTATTTATTTATTTATTTCCTACCTACAGTATGTGACACTGTCCCAACACTTACTTTTTCACTTATATGCAAGTGTGATGTATATGTGTATATGGAGGTGAGACTGAGATTATGTGTTTTCCTCCATTTCTCCCCACCTTGTATCTACTTGGCATTTACATGGGTGATGGCAATATGAACCCTAGGCCGTATCCTTGATGGTAAGTGCTTCAACCACTAATGTATCTCTTCAGCACCTACTTTAAAGGCTTCTATCTGCCTGTTGCACTAGTTGACAGAGAAAAGCTCCAGGTCCTTGTAGACACTGTCAGCATGCACAGCAAGACTGTGATTATACTGAACACTGAACAGCAGTGCTGATACTTCATGGGAGTAGCATGCACTTGTTGAACCCTGGGGAGATTCCAGATCCTAGTTATAAATCCCAGTCTTGTTGGATCACTTTCTGCCTATGTTCCAAATTCTAGTGGAAAATTTACATGCCCTGCCATCAGACTTCTTGCAAGGGTCTGAAAGCAGATCTAGTGGCCACATATTCATATTGATATTATTTGCATTCTTTAAGCCTGTCAAGTCAGAGCACATGAATAAACAAGTCAGGCAAAACAGATAGGCAAGAAGATTCAGCGGACTTCTGGGCTCCCTGGAAAGCCAGTCTTCCAGGGCCCAGGAAGACTAGCCAGGATGGAAGGAGCCCCATTTGTGTGTGCTCCACCTCATACAGCAACCAGATATCTCCCAAACACGCTTCTCTGGGGTTTCATGCCTGGTCTCACAGTATACCCTTTGGAGTGCAGAGCTCAAACACTGTTGGGCATCCCACTGCAGAGGTGCCAACAGCAGAGCCTGGGCTCCTAGATTACTGATCATAGCTGCAACATCTCCACTAGTTTTGGCTTGTCTTCACAGCACTTGACATGACATTATAGATGTAGTGACATATTTGTTTGTTGCTCATCTTTCTGATTAGAATGAAACAAAGGTCTTTGTTTCGTTTGTGAGCCCTCAATCCTGAATGCTTGGTACAGTACTCAACATACAGCCCTAGACAAACATTTGTTAAATGAACAGACTCCATTCTCTAGTATTTGACTCAAACTCAGCAATATTCAACAAGTATTTGAGACTCAGTTCTGCAAGTGGCACTTAGCTAGGTGCTAGGGACTGAGCATAGAGCTTTAAAAATCTGTAAAAGTCAGATCTGAAATTGTATTTTTTTGGGGGGGGGGTAAATTCCAAGAAGAAACAAGAACACCAAGAGTTCTAGAAATGTTCTTTTCTGGGTGGTAGTTACACAAGAGCATAGCTGAAACTACAGTTAAGACCTGCACATTTTGTAAATATATTTTTATTCATTTTTGTAAAGTTCATACATGCATACAACTATACTGGAACATATTCACTCCCCATTTCTCTCCCCAATTCCTTCCATGTTGATCCCCTCTCATCTTGTCCTCTTTTTTATTTTTAAATAGTCCACATATTCCTATTTGTGTGCTGCTCAAACATATTCATGGGTATGGGGACCACACCATACCAGGGTGTGGTTGACCCATCAGGGCCCACATTAGACTGACTCTTCCCCCAGAAAAACAAAAAACAAACAAACAAAAAAACCATCACCCATTAGTAGCTCCGCAGTCAGGGGTGGGGGCTTGCAAGCCCATCCGTCCTGGCATGTTGGCTAGCTTGATTTTGTGCAGGTAAACACAGGTGCTGGGGGTTTGTTCATGAGTGCTGTAGTCCTATGATGGCCAGAAGACACTGACTGTTTCAGTCCGGCTCCCTCCTACCCCGGCTCTTAAATCTTTTGACCTCCTCTTCTAGCTTTGTATTTTAAGTTGAACCCCAGTAAGTTCGTCTGTTTTACATTCCTGACTTGTCACGTCAGTACATCTCTCTCCAAACTAACTGGAGGTGTGTGCAACCTTTAGTGAGACTAGCATACCCCAGGAAGAGGAAGAAGGTAGGAAGCATCTTGCTTTCCTGACACGGGGAACTTCCCAGAGACCACAGGCCTCCTCCCACGTTCTGAGATCGCCTTTTCTATGGTGAGGACCACTGGCTCCACGGAACCTGACGCCGGATGTTGAAGACAAGTGCGCTGAGACGAGGCGCAACACGTCACAACTTAGTTCTGCGGTCCGGTCAACAGCCAGGAGCATACAATGGAAGATGGACACTCCATCCACGAGCGTCTGCAGAGAGAGCTGCTCCAGGTACAAGAGGGCCACCCGACGTCACAGTCTTGGAAAATTCCCGCCGGTGCAACAGCAACGCGCAGGCGCAACAGAACGCCGCCTGCGCAGGCGCACGGCGGCCGAGGACGGGCCCGGGCGCGCGCCATGGAACAGCGGTTAGCTGAGTTCCGGGAGGCCCGCAAACGGGCCGGGCTGGTGGGCCAGCCCTCCTCGTCGAGGCTGGGCGAGCAGATCTCAGATGCGAAGGCGGAGCCAGAGGCGGCGACCCCGAAGCCAGCCCCAGGCTGGCTGAGACGCTTCCTGAAGAGGAAAGCAAGCCCGGCCCTTGTGCGGGCCAACCAGGCTCAGGTGAGGAGAGAGACCGGCCCTTGAAGCTCGGCTACCTGCGCGGGCCACGCCTCGCTCCGCACAAGCCACACCCACGATTTCTGGCGCTCAAAGCCCTTCCCTGTCCTGCGGGCTCTCTCCTCGTCTGTCCAGTGGCTGGGCACCGCATTTCCTCAGTGTGTGTCAGCACGTGACAAGTGGCCCTGACATTTTTCTTCCCAGACACAATCCTATGCAGCAACTCGTTGCAAAGAGAAAGCGAAGGTCTAAGGACCTTGAAGAAAGAAGCATCTCCCGCTTGAGTTGTGCACTGCGAGTTACTAGCAGAGAGTCCACATGGCTTTAAGGACACAGCCGCAGTCCACTGCTAGTGGAGGGTAAAAGGTCTAATTAGTCATTGATCAAAAGTGGCAGTAATTAAGGCCTCACTTTATTCACACCTTGAGTTGAGGTACCAGTGCCGCAGGTAGCTTGTGTTTTAGATTTGGAGGGGGAACCTCAAACCTTAAGAGGGTTTGAGACCATGACCATCCTATCGTGAATACAACTCATTTCTGAAGCTGAGCAGGGTCGGGCATGTGGGAAATGGGGTTTGGTTACAAAACGTTCTGAAGTGTGGCGACTGTAATTGCCAGTGGTGGTGTACAGAGGCTTCCACGCCACTCTTGGAATACAGACAGTATTCAAGTTCAGTTGATCAAAGAAAAGTTGGGCTAGGATGATAGCTCTTTGTGTCTTTATGTAGTCGTCACTCAGGACTATCCTGGCCAGGGGATTTGTCAATGAGATTGGAAAGCCTGGGTGGAACTATGAAACACTCCCAGGGGAAAATCTCCCTGGGTTGGTTTCTGTTACTGTGGTAAACACCATACTGAAAAGCCGCTTGGGGAAGAAAGGGGTTATTTTAGCTTACAGGATATAGACTTGCCTATAGGCAATTTCATTTCTCAGTTGAGGTTTTTTTCTTCCCAGAAGGCTCTAGTTTGGGTCAAGTTGACAAGGAATGAACGGTACACTATGCTTTTCAGCAGCCACAAGACCTTTGTTTCTTGTAAGCGTAATAAATACATAACATATGGCTGGGTCAGGGAACTGTAAGAAGTCAGCTGAGAGCAGCCTTACTGGTCTGAGAAGTTGGCACACCCAAACCCTGCTGCTCAGTACCTGAGGGTACAGGAGCATGTGCCATGTAGGGTCAGGAACGGGGAGAGCATGGCTTCATCAGACCCAGAAACTGCTTTTCTGGATAAGCTGCTTTTTGAAACTTTAGTGTGGCAGATAAGTCAGTTTGTTCAACCTCTGGGCTGCAGGGTGAAAGATAAAGTCAGTTTGCTTTTTTTCTTTTCTGTTTCTTTTTTTGTCAACTTCTGCACTCCAGTGTATGTTATGGAATTTTCTAGAATTTTCCTGAGTGGCAGGTGTCTTGAAGTCTTTGGCCTGTTTTAAGGCCCTGGTTTTAGGGTGAGGGATTTCCTTTAGTAGTGAAGGCCTGTAATCCTATCTACTTAGGAGGCTGTGGCAGGGTATTACAAATTCAAGGCCTGACTTTCATCCTATCTCAAAATTAAAAGGAAAAAGAAAAAAGAAAAAAAAAAGTTGAAGAGCTGGAGTTGTAGCTCAGTGGCAGAGTGTTTCTCTTATGTACATGAAGTACCAGGTTTGACCTCTAGCACCAGGATAATGGATACATGAATACAGGACTATAAATCAGTGGTAAAGTACTTTACAGACATGTTCAGGGCCCTAGGTTCCATCATCAGGACCACCTCCCCAAAATAAAGTGGTAGAGTAGTGGTGCATGCTAGTAATCATAGCACTTAGGAGTCTGAGGCTGGCAGATTGTGACTATGAAGGTGCTCTGGGCTACATAAGCAAGACTTCATGTCAGAAACAAAGAACCCACTCTGCTTCAAAATCACATTTTACCAGAACAGCTTATCTTGCTCACATTAAAATCATCTCCTTTAAGTTGATCTATTACTGCATGAAGGGTCCCTGCAGGTATTAGGGCAAGCAAGGAACCTTGAAGAGATGAGAATGAAAACTTCTTTCAGGTTGACTTCATTTACCTGGATCATATTTCAGGGAGTCTGATGCCAGGTGGTTTATTGTATTTATATTTAAACACAATAGAATTTGGGAAAAGGTTTCCAGAAAACAATCATTTCAATTCCAGGTGTATAATAAAGCTTCAGGTGTGACTACATAGAAACTCCTTTGCAAAGTACATGTGACCTTGAAGATGGGTTCTGTAGCTTAAGGGTCTAGAATCTGGTATGGTCTCTGATTGAAACAGCATAGAGGTCAGCAGTGTACAAAGTACATGTGACATCTCCCCTAAGAATGGGAGCAAAGGATAAAGTCTAGAATAATTATTCTGGGTGAGGTCTGGCTCTACAGATAGCAAAATATTACCAACTTATTAACAATATCCACTGTTAGTTTTCTGGATTGAAAGCAGGTATTTTATTTCCTCCATGGAGAAGATACGTCTGCGAGTTTACATTTCCGGTTTTCCTAGTGCCCCCAACAACTACACAGTTTCTAGTTTAAGGAATTTTCTTTTAATTAGGAAGAAGGTATAGTTGCTCAGTTTTGACTTCACATTCTCTCTACAGTATTCAAGTTTCCCACTTACTTGAAGGGAAAGGTAAGGAGGGTGAAGCCTCCTTTTCCTTCAGTGCAGTTTGCACAACTTTAGTTGTCTTTGGGTAACTGTTGTGGATTAGGCATCAGCAAACAGAGGCTTGAGAATACATCTCCCCTCCTCTTTTCCCCTCCTTTCCCCTGTTCCAGTTTAAAAACTATGTCTAACCACACAAAGTGCTTTTGACTGTATATTTCATTTCCAAAGGAATATAAAATCACTGAATTGAGGCCAGAGATGCTCAACCCAAGAGAAAGCTTCCTTTATAAAAACCCAGAAATTGATGAGAGGCAACACTGGGATGGGACTGGCATTAATCACCCCGCCTTTCTTAAGAGACTTGGCTTTAGGTCTATTTTTCCTATTACTCTTCCTGGGTTTGCCTTGGTATAAAAATTCTTATTAATAAAAGTTATTTTTTCTAAGTTGCAATCCAACTCTTCCTAATTATTGTAATGTATACTGAGCCCATTGGAGATTTCTTTAGCCATCTATTTTGTAATACTTTCTTTTTAGTATTCTTTGATAAATTTCATGTTACTCATCTTCCTCTGCCCAAAGTTTTCTTGAAGGAAAGTAGTTTCCCCAATTCATAAGGTTCTGCTTGTAACTGTTTACTCCCTTGGAATTTAATCCCAGAATCTTTGGCCTTATAGGTAGTTCAGTCCTGGGGGTTCATTCTCCATTCTGGTTTGCAACTCCCAGCCTTCCAGCCTTGCTCAAAGGGCCCACTCCTCCTCCTCTTCTTTCTTTTTGCCTCACAGAGTGCTGGGATTTCTGGTGTTTACCACCATGCCTGGCTCAAATGTGCTGTTTGGAGAACCTGAGTTCAGAATCTGAGTTTCCCCACATAAAAAGCCAAGCTTGGTGCATCAAAATTTAGCAGTGAGGTGATAGACAGGAGGAACTTCAGCTAGGTTATCATAATTGGTGATATCCAGGTTCAGTGAGAGATCCTGTATCAAAAATAAAGGTGGAAATCAATTGAAATGAGGCACACAGTATCATCATGCTTTCTATATGTCTCGCAGCCTCTGCGTATGTTTCTTTCTGTCTCTCTCTGGAAAGACCTCTCAGGTAGGAAGCCACTTGCTAGTGGAGGCATGGAAATATGTTCTCTAAGCCATATCTATGAGCAATGTACAACCATAAATGCCTATGCACATGGCTGTTGTCAGAGCTGCAAATTGAATCAGCACTAGATACAATTCTCAGTCAGAGGAATTTCCATACGTGCCTCCATGTTTGTTCTCTTTGACAGTTTGTTTACCGTGAACTTTGCTCATCTTTCAACCCTTTACCCTACCATTCCCCCTAGAGCACCTAATTAAATAAAAAAGGGCAGGAAATCTTTAGGCTTTTATTTTTTTGAGATGCAAGTCATGACTCATTCATGGCTGTACAGTCAACCTAGGATCTTGTTCCCTTTAAAAATTGTTGAATAATTTGGAATCAAGAGAGCTTTTCCAGGTGGGCAGTGCTGAATTTGTTTCCATTGCTCCCATATTCTGGGCTACAAGATAAAACCCATTTCTTGCTATGTGTCAGAAAGAGACTCTTAAACGCTTAGAAAATAGTAGAGAACAGGCAAAGCTCCGAAAGCCACCCACACACCAGGGAATTCCCTTAGCATCTGACACTGGGTATAGATTTTAACATGCAGGCAACGGGATTTTATTGAAGTTGTGTGGGCTGCAAGGTGAAGGTGATGTAGAGAACTCATCAATCAGTTATACACAGGCTGGCTTGGAGACTGGAGAGAAATAAGAGGGAAGGAGTCTAGTTAGGAGGTGCTTCCCAGGCCTGGGTATAGTGATGAGAATCTGGGTACGATGGGAGTTGGGTGAGGGGGTAATGGCCAGTGACCATAGCTTGGTAATTTTTTTTTTCATAAAGTATTTGAAAGGGGTTTTTGTTTCCTGTTTTGGGGATGGACTCCATTTTGGAATTGAGTTACTCTGGATATTTTGGATATCTAATAAAATCAGCAAATGTGTGTTCACTGTGTAGGAGACAAGTATTGCACCTGCTGCATTATCAGCTACTGGTCAGGTTCTGTCAGGGACACAAATTAGGTTTTGTTAGCAGCTGACTAAACTGAAGAAATGGCTTCCATGAATGCAGCCCATCTCAACGGTGCCAAGTTTTTGTGGGGTCACATCTTGCTGTGTGCTGATCAGTGTTGATTTGTTTGGACCAGGAAAGCTAAGCTCTCTGCCAGTGATTGTTTTAGAGAGGAAGGCAAGAAAATAGAAAACAGTCATTCAACAGCCTTCCTAGAGCAGTAAGTCCTCCCTTTTCCAATTGATTTGAATCCTCTCAGCTCCACTGACCTCCCATTCTTACTTCTGTTTGCTTCTATGTCCTAGGAAGCAGGCCAGCAGCCCCCTCAGAGCACTGCGGTTCCTCTGCCTTCTTCCTGCTGCCAGTCTTTCCTGACCAACATCACCTTCTTGAAGGTTCTCCTCTGGTTGGTCCTGTTGGGTCTGTTTGTGGAACTGGAATTTGGCCTGGCTTATTTTGTCCTGTCCATGTTCTATTGGATGTATGTAGGGACTCGGGGTCCCGAGGAGAAGAAAGAAGGGGAGAAGAGCGCCTACTCCGTGTTCAACCCTGGCTGTGAAGCCATCCAGGGCACCCTGACTGCAGAGCAGCTGGAGCGTGAGTTACAGCTCAGGCCCCCGGAGGGAGGTAGGACCATTCCTAGCTGGTCCTCCTAGTCTTGAGCATGGACTCTACAAGACAAAGGACAGCTTGCAGGATTGCCACATTCTCCATTTTCCCCCTGATATGCTGCAGCTTCATCTTCGAACTTCTCTTTGATTTGGGCGAAATTTTCTAAAGGGCTCTCAGTGGGGCTGGTGCAGTCTATAAAGTCATATAAGAAGGAGGCTGGTGTGTCTCATTATTGGAGAATGGTGATAGTGGCACACTAAAGATGCATTGTGAGGTTCTCTGGTTTACCCAGTGGTTTGGTGGATAAGTAGGCACATCAGGGCTCTGTATTACACATGAATACTCTTTTAAAATAGTTTAATATTTACATAACTAAGTTCCAGGCCAGCCAGGGAGACTGGTCTCTCTTTCCCTTTAAATGTTTTAAGTGTTTTGCCCAAATGTATACAGATGTACCATGTGTGTTCCCAGTACCCTCAGAAGTCAGAAGAGGGCATCAGATCCTCTGTAACGAGTTATGGTGGTTGTGACCCACCATGAGGATGCTGGGTTCTGAAACCTCAGTCCTCTGCAAGAGCAACAAGTGCTCTTAATCATTGAATCATCTCTCTAGCCTTTCAAACAATGTACAGAATTATTTTTCCAAAAGGTTCAAGTTGCAAGTTTTAGGAAGTTTTGTTTTTGTCTTGCTTCTTTTTGTTCATCAATGCTATTGAAATATAAAATGTCTTTAAGATTCTTTCTTTCTATAAACAGGTCCTTATACACTGCTCATCCCCATCTTTCATTTTCCTGCTACCCTCAAACTCACAGAGACCTGCCTGTGTTCTGTCTGTTTGGGTGTGTCATCAAAGCCTGGCTCAAAAGCAGCCTTTTATAGGGTGCTGAGGTCTGAACTCAAGTCCTTATTCTTGTGCAGGACTTTACCCCTGAGCCATGTTCCCTGTCCAAATAATCACTTAAGTTGTGAATTTTGTATATTACTTGCCTCTCAAATCCACCACTCCTATATTAGGTGTTCCGAAAAGTAGTCTGTTGGGTCCACAGCTCAATTGGTAGATTGCTTGTTTAGTGTATCAGCTGCTTTCATGTTGCTATGATGAAACACCATGACCAAAATTAACCTAGAGAAGAAAGAGTTTATTTTGGTTTATGGTTCCAGAGGGAGAGTTCACCATGTCAGGTGAGGCATGATGGTATACAGCCAGAGCAGGAAGCAGAGAGATCCCATCTCAACCCCATACACAGAAAGCACAGAGCATAAAGTTGGGTAAGGCTACAAACTCTCAAAGCTCACCCTCAGTGATGTATGTCCTCTAGCAAGGTTCCCATTCTAAAAGTTCCATTACCTTGCCAAACAGTTTCACCAGCTGGGGACCAAATGTTTACATAAGCCTATGGGAACCATTCTCACTCAAACCACCAAACCTAGCATGTTTCAGGCCACAAACTTGATTTCTAGGACCACATATAACTAGGCACTGGTGATGCATGCCCATAATACCCAGAACTTGTGAGGTAGAGTCAGGAGGATTAGAAGTTTAAGGTCATCCTCAGAGAGTTTGAGGGCAGCCTAGGACACATGAGGGACTGTTCAAGAAAGAAAGAAAACAAAGAAAGGAAGGAAAGTAGGCAGGACACAGGCAGGCAGGCAGACAGAAATTGTGTATGTGAGGGGCTGGAGTGATGTCTCAGTGGGTAAGAGCATTTGCTGTACAAACATGAGAATTTTACATTGAACCCCAGTACCTACATATAAAGCTGAATGATCCCTGTGCTGAGGGTTTGGGACGCAGAGACAGGAGGGGTTGCTGGCAGTTACTCCAAGTTCAGTGAGGTACTCTCAGGAATATAGCATAGAATGATGGAGAGGACACCTGAGGGCATCTTCTGGCCTCCACATGCCTGTGCATGGGCGTGCTCACTTACATGCACACATGCATCTACCACACACGCACCTGCACACGCGAACATGCATTTTTAAAGAAGAAAGGAATGAAGGAGGAAAGAAAAATGTGAAAAGGAAAGAAAAAATTGACCCTTTCAGACAATTCCTCCAGTCCTATTAGATGTGGGTTCTGGGATCCCACCCACACCCCTGAACAGCTGCCTCCTCCTCTCCCTGGCTTGAGTGCTTCAGTGCAGTACAGCTCCCAGCACCAACTTGGAAGGCTGACTTAGAAAGCTGACTCAGTGATGGTAACATTAGTCAAAGAAAGATGGGTGTGGTTTTAGAAGGGGGCAACAGGTTTGTCATTTTCCAGCTGTTCATCTGGAACTCCAGAGTGAAGAAATGCAACAGCACAGCACAGAAAACTTTAAAACAAGGAGACTCCCGGGAACTATAACCAAAGGCACTTTACTTCCCAAGTTTTTCATTTTGGAACATTCTGAAAATACAAAAAGAACAAATTTGAGTGTTAAATTTGTGTGCATGTATCTCAGGAATCAAGAGGTTTGTGGATTGCTTGTGACTAGACCTAATGCTTTTTAAGCTCAAACATGAGAGCATCTTATTAACATACTGCTCTGGGCTTGTTTTTCCTTTTCTCTTTTTGTGTGTTTATATATTTATATCATGTAGCATCATAATGTATCCTGTACATTTTTTCAGTGTTCTACATACCCTTGGGGCTGGATCACCTGCAACCCCCACATCCAGGTCCAGTTCTATTGTGCTGCCCAGGTGAGGTACAGAGCCCATGGTGAGGTCTCCACAACAGACCTGTGGTGGGCCACCTCTCCCATGCTTGTATCCTCAGCACCTGCTCACCCACAACTGCATTGTGTGGGCCTACCAGAGTATTTCAGGTGGGTAGGGGTGGGGTCAGCTCTCCTGCTTTCATGCTCCCAGGGCCATCTCTCCTGTGATGCCCAGGTGAGGGCTAGGGCCAGTTCTGCACAGCCCTTTGACATCAACATGTCCCCACCTGGCAGCCCAGAGCAGGGTGATAGCAGGCTCCTGCAGGGCCAAAGACCCAGACATGGCCCCTAGTGGCAGCACAGGCTCGGACTCCACCATGGTTCCAGGTGGCATCACCAGCTACTCATGTCAGCCTGTTTCTTACTACCTTCAAGTTTCTAGTTTTGCCTCTTCATTGTGCTCTTCCTTCTGTTTCTCTTTCTCTTCCATATCTCCACCACTTTCTTTTTTTAGTGGTGCCAGTGTCTCTGAGTGTCTGGAGTTGTTGTAGGAGTGGTCTCAGTAGTGCTATGCCCAGCTTGTGCATTAGGGCCTGGACAGGGGTCATCTCTGGCATGGTCTTTCCCCCACTCACACCACCAGGCATGCATGGCACCAGATTGGTGATCATCTCAGGCTAGCTTCCTGTCTGGGCCACATGGTGCAGATCATGGTGCAGATCTGGGCCACATGGTGCAGATCACTCCTCACCTGGCCCACTGATGGGGTAGTCTGTCTCCACTTCACTCTTGCTTGGAGCTAGCAGTCTCTAGCTTGCTCCCCAACCTGGGAGCCTGTCCCGAATTGCTAGACTGCTGGTCATCTCAGGCTCACTTTTTTTTTTTTTCCAGGAAATATTAGCCTCCTAATCATTCAGATGTTCATAGGTCAGAACACTTTCTCTTTTCTGCCACCTACTGGCACACATTTGACACACTATGTGCTTATGAAGTTTTATGTAGGGGAATTCATGGTTTGACACTCTCCAAGGCTGGGGTGGGGAGTACACTTTGTCATTTCCACCCTTTCCTATCTATCTTCTTATAGAGTACCTGGCTTTCCCAGGCTGGCACTGGGCTCCAAGGCTCCCCAGTGAGCAATGAGGAGTTGTGGTCTCCAGGCAACTCCCAGGCAGATGGGGAAGGCAGCTCAGAATAAGACAGGTGCAATGCAGTGCTTAATGTCTAAGGGAGGCCAAAGGAGAAGAAAGGAACATCACCTGCAGAGTCTGGAAGGCTTCCCAGAGGCAGGGACATTGTACTAAATTTGTAGGGGGACCAGATACTGCCAGAAAAATGTGGGAGCAAGGAGGTGACACTTTGGGTCTATGTAAATCACCAAGAGATTGACATACCCGAGAAAAATACAGTTTTTGTATCTACAAACACTCCCACAGATTCAGGCTCAGGTACAGTTGTGGAAGAAGAGTGGAATGATTCTAAGAGCCAGAGGATCAAGGAGTTTGTTATGAGGTTTTGTCTCCTAGTAACATTAGACACTACACCCATGAAGTTTCACTAACATGACTGTTGATATGCAAGCTGAACAAGGATGACCCCAATGAATATGCCAAACTGAAACCTACACAAATAACTACAGAGGACAGGTGAAAAAGAGAGAGATGGTCTTCCCCAGGAAGAACACACCAAATAGTCATCCCTGAAAAATATACAAGTAATATATGGACAGAAAAGATTATATTCAAGAATATATATGCCTGTATGCATACAATAAAAGTTATTGAAAAAAGAGGCCATGAATTTGAAGGAGAATGGGAAGGGTATATGAGAGGGTTTGGAGAGAGAAATGGGAAAGAATATGTACATATTATATATATATATATATATATATATATATATATATATATATATATATATATTCATTATATATACATGTAGTATCTCAAAACCTAAAAGAAATTAAAATAAATGTCATCTGGGCTGGATGTGATGATGTATGTTTTTAATGCCAGCACTAGGGAGTCAGAGACAGGCAGATATTTGTGAGTTTGAGGCTAGGCTGTTCTATATAGTAGGTTCCAGGGCAGCCAGGAATGCACAGCCAAACAATGTCTCAAACAAACAAATCACCTAGGGCCAGTGAGGTGAGATGGCTCAAAAGGCAAAACACTTGCTAGTGATCCTGACAACCAGTTACAATCCTGAGACCCATATGTTAGAATGAGAGAAAGGACACATGCATTTGTTCTCTGACTCTTCGTACACAGACTGTGGAACATGTCCTCACCCCATACACATAAAATAAATGAAGGGGCCCCAGCACAGAAATATACTGCCCACAGACCTGTGCCATGTGTAAAGCAGGTTCCCATCCAATAGGTGGAAAACTAAAGTAATATTTGGGTGACCTCTTCTGGCAAGTGGGTCTTCATGAATTGTCCTGAGGAAATGAGGACATCCATGGTAGGCTGGCATAATACCTATCTTTTGTCCTCTTTGTCAAATGTCATTGGTCACTTTTTAATGATTCCTATTTGTCCTCTAACCTGAAAGAACCCTGCTGCTTCCACTT